ACAAAAGGGGGGGGCCTCTCTCCGAGCACTCTCTCAGGGTGGAGGGCTCGGGGTGAAGTCCGCGTGGGCTTCTGCACCTCGAGAGGCAGTCCGCCTCGTGATCCACCTCGTGCAGATCCAAGCCTCGAACTCACCACCCACCAAACCACCCCAACCCAACCCGAAGGTCTCGATTTGCCCTCCATTTCCAGTTGGGGGGGGGTCGGGGAACATCGAGAACACACCTATGGAACCCGTACCCCCCCCCAACCCGAAATTCGGGTCTTCGGGTTGGGTTGGGGTGGTCTGGTAGGTAGTCAGGCTCCTTGGCGGCACTGTCTGCCGCGGGCGCGGCGTTCCCTGACCCTTTCTGGGCGGGCTTTTGGCACGAGCACACTCGGCGGCGAGCGGGGGGTGCCGAGCGAGCAACTCACACCCATGCCCATAGGAGGGTCGAAGGGAGGGGAGCCGGCTACTGGCATGGGTGCGAGCTGTCCGGACCCTGGGGGAAGCTCCCGTTCGAGCGGGGACCCCCATCCGACAACACGCACCCATAGCCTCCTCCGTCCCCCCTATGGGTATGGGTGTGTGTTGTTCGATCGTCATAGGGGGGGGGAGGCGAGAAGGGGCGGCCCTTCTCTCAGAAGGCTCGGACGTCCCCCCAGGCCTTCTGAAAGAGGTTCCCTAAGCTTTCCCAGGAGACGCAGGAGACTTCTCAAGAGGCCGGATGGCTTCTGAGACGTCCCGCCGCCGTCTGAGAAGGCCTTCTCCTTCTCAGAAGGAAGAGCCGATCCTGGGGGAGGGGTCCAGAGACCTTTCTGTCCACGTTGTGAAACATCATGAATCATGACGTCGGGCGGCTGGGTTTGCAGCGGCCCAGAGGCACTACGAAAGCGTAGGCTCAGGCGCATCATCGACGTGTCCCCGTTCCACCTGAATCGACGCGCTCGGTCGCCAGATGAGCGGCAGTGGCTCCATGTTCGGGGGCGATTTTCCCCGATCCGTGGATCCAACGTCCACGCTCCAGAACCCCGAGTTGGTCTCGAGAATCTGTGCCCAGCCTGCGACTCCGGGCGGGGATTGGGGCCACCATACCCCCCGCCAGCACGCCGACCGCGGCGCGGGCGCCCTCCCCCGTTCCTCGGCCCCCCCGCCCGAGAGCAGGAAGCTCCAAAGTGTGTGCGGCGTCTACGCCTTTGGGTAAGCCAGTGGTCAAGGGCATACAAAACGCCCCTACCCCGGTTTACGAGGCGCTGTGCGCTGAGACTCCTGTGGGCTGACAGGGTAAACCCTGCGTGATGTGCTGCGTCCCGGCGGCTCTAGGCTTTGGGGGTTCCCAGGAGTTTTACAGACCACGCACTTGTAACCCAGGGTAGGGTCGTTTTTTCATCCCTCAAAGTGGGTATCTTGGGTGGTCACACGGGCTTGGGACATGGGTCGTGATCCGGCGACGTCTCGGGCGACTGGGGCCTCCAGGGTCCCCAAACCGTGCGGTGACCAGCCCTGCGGTGGGGTCGTTTTCGTATTGCGGGGCCACCGCGCTGGTCTGCCGCCACACCGTTTGGGACCCCTCGACGGGGGGAGGTGGGGGAGGGGCAGGAGGTGGAGGAGGGGGAGGACGAGGAGAGGGAGGAGGAGGAGCGATGGGATGGGATGGGCTCCATCGCGGTGCGATAATAAAAAATTCTAGGCTCCCCGCCACTCTGACCTCCTCCAGCAACGCGACGACCCAGAACGGGAACCCGAGTACACGAAGGAGAGGTGGAAGCCGTACGAGTCGAAGTAGTTCAACTCTGCTTGCACTCCTCCGAGCCCGAAGCGCCACGTAGAGCATCGGCGTCTCGGAGGAGCCGCGCACGCTCAGCGCTGGTCGCCCATCGCTCGGCAGCCGACGGGGCAGGGGTGGCTGCCGCCATCGCCGTCCCGAGCCCGCGCAGCAGCGCACCAACGTCCGCGCCAACACCTCCGTCACGAGCACCCGCGCCCGCCTCCACCGCATCAGGGGAAGCTACCCCCCGCAGGGGCCCCGCGGGAGGGATCGCGGCCGCGCCTGGCGCCTCCGCAGCGAAAGGAGCGGCCTCTCCCTGGACACGAGGGCCCACGGCACGCCCTTCGCCCTTCGGCGCCTCCTTCGACGGCACATCGGCGAAGTCCTCCACGATGACCGCGGGCTCCAGCACGGAGTCGGCGGCCGCACCAGTGACTCCGCCAGGCGCCACCTCCGCCTGCTGAGGAGTGCTGGTGATTTCCTGCACGGCGCCCTCATCTCCAGCTCCCGCACCTGCTTCGCCATGAGCCCGACCCTCGGCAGGGTCTCCAGGCGGGCCCTCCAGGAGCGCCAGGCGAACCGCATGGCCCAGCCTCGACAGCTGCTGGCCGCGGTGCACCGTGATGGCCTCGAAGGCCTGCAGCAGGTGCTGCGCCGCCCGCCCCTGCGCCCGCGCATACTGCGCGCGGCGCCCCGCGGCAGAGCGGTTCGGGCGGCGGCGGCAGCCCAGCCGTAGCCCGGCCGACCGGTCCATCCCGCGGCGAAGGGAGACGGGCGCGACGAGGAGGGGAGGGAGGGCCCTTGGGCGGCGCGGGAGCGCCGTGGCGCTGGCTCGGGGGCCACGGTTTAGCCCGAGCTGGCGCTGGGAGGAGGAGGAGCGAGGAGGAGGAGGAGGAGGAGGAGGAGGAGGAGGAGGAGGAGGAGGCGGAGGCGGAGGCGGGAGGAGGGGGGGGAGATACCTCTGGCGAGCAGGCCGGGCCTGGGCCAGGGTGTGTGTGTGTGTACATAATATATATATATATATATATATATATGATTGTGCAGTTCGCATTGGACGCTCACCCTCCCGTGCACTCGCCTATCACTGTCTGAGACCGCCTGCGCACTCTTCGTGGCGGGGAGTCTCGACGCCTGCTAGGGAATCGAACTCTATATGCAGCGACGCTTCTTCTGGCCCTGCAGTGGAATTTGCACTGGAGAGCGGATCCTGGTGTATGCGCGACCCCGGTGTAAACATTCGGGGATATCTGGGAACAGATATTCCACCACACCACCCCAGCGTCGTCCTCGACCCTCAACAGGTCCTGGGATTGAAAAACAGCCCGCCACTGATAATGTGTATGTGTTCTAGTTTCGGCGGCGAGCGAGGGGGGGAAATGAGAAGGAGAAGGCCTTCTCAGAAGGCGGCGGGACTTCTCAGAAGCCCCCGCGCCTTCTGAGATGTTGTTTCTGTCTTCGGGGAAGGCTTAGAACAATTCTCAGAAGGCCGTGGGACTTCCGAGCCTTTTGAGAAGGCCTTCTCCTTCTCATGTTTCAAACATGTTGAATAATCTAATCATGTTTGAAACGTTTGCATAACATGTTTTACACATTTTAAACACATCTTTAACTCAATGATGTGACTTTTAGTGCCAAGTAAAAGAAATGATAACTGTTACATGTGTTGGGCGGCGTTGGGCCGTACAGGATTGTAGTGCACGATGTCGTGAAGCAAGGGTGTCCGAGATGGCTTCCGCATCAGTTGTTGTCGTGAAGCAAGGGTGTCCGTGATGGGAACCGTTTTCCGGTCACCTGAGGCTTGCTGACTTTCTGGGGACCCCATGCGGCCTCCTGAGGTCACCAGCGGGAGGTTCCCACAGCCTTCGTCGGTGACCTTCTGGGGCCCCCAAGCGACCTCCTGAGGTCACCGGCCTGGGGTTCCCACTGCTTGCGTCGGTGACCTTCTGGGGCCCCCTAGCGGCCTCCTGAGGTCACCGGCCGGGGGTTCCCACTGCTTGCGTCGGTGACCTTCTGGGGCCCCCTTGCGGCCTCCTGAGGTCACCGGCCGGGGGTTCCCTCTGCTGTTGCATCGCATTGTGTTGCATAGCATCTTTGCTGCCACAGTGCTCATGCTGTTCCGTGGCCTTTGGCTCAGTGGCCAAACTGGTGCTCATTCTTATTGACCCCACCCTCCCAGGCCCTTCGAATGCGTGGACGACCCCCACCTCTCCAGGTGTGGCCTTTTGGCCCACGTGGAGGCGCTCAGGCGTGCAGCACGGCGCGGTAACGCCGAGAGGGGTGAGTTGTGAGATGTTGTGAGGGGTGCGTTCACTTCCGAGGGGGCGGGCGTGCGGGCGTGCCAGTCGCGAGCGACGCCGGCGCCCCGATCCAGGCGCACTGAGGAAAAGAGGAGCTTCGAGCTTCGACCTCTCTCACCCCACCCTCCGTCCTCTGTCTTCGGCGGGCGGGGGGGGTATCACATGTGCAACAAGTTATCAGGATTGTGAGAGTGCCCATTGCCATGGCATCCGCGAAACTAGGGACGCTCTCCGTCAACTGCGTGTCGCCGACGGCGATCCGGGGATGCCCAGATCGCCCCCGACCGGCAGCGGGGACGACCCACCCTCGCCGACGTGTCGCCGCTGGGCGCCCGAGAGCCCGCCCCGCCCCGGCGCGTGCGCATGCACCATCGGGGACCTAGCTAGTTCGAAGAAGAAATATCCGCATACTCGAAAACCGGAACGTATACATTACCAGTGGCGGGCTCCCTTTCGCTCCCAGGACTCTCTGAGGGTCGGGGGCGACGTCGGGGTGGTGTGGTGTAGACTCGTTCCCCGCTCCCCCAGGGAAATAACGAAACATGTATACACAAGGACCCCCATCTACACCAGGATCCGCTTTCTTGTGAGAAGTTCAGCGCAGGGCCGGAAAGAGCGTTGGTGTATAGAGTTCGGTTCCCTACGTACGCACACAATTTTTCGGGCCCGCGTGCATTTCTGGGAGCGGCGCCGGGCCCGCTCGCGGAGCGTGCCAGGGGCGGCGCCGCAAGGGGGGTCCAACGCCGACCCAAAAACGCCGCGCGGACCTCCGAAAGTTCCTGTTGATGCAGTTTTTTGGTTCCCTTCTGCAATCGCTCAGATCTCTCGGCGATGTGTCGCCGACTTCAGGTCGATGTTTCCCCCCCCTCTGATGGTCTCCCCTGCCTGTCCCCCTCACGAGAAGGGGCGGGGGCCGAATGCCGCCGCCGGGGCCGCTATGTTTCCGCGGCGGCCAGGCTTCGGAGACATCACGCCCACGAACCTGTGGGAGGCACGCCGCCGCCAGCGCGGCCGCCGCGGGATCGGGCGTCCCCCCTTCGAGGGGCGATGTTTCTCGCCCCCGATCCCAGAGATGCCCCGCGATCTGCTCCCTCATCCCTTTTCCTCTCCCCTCTTCCTCGTCCTGCCTCCTGCCTCCTCCCCCCCGTCCCCCCTGCTCCCTCCAACTTCTCCTTCTCGCCTCTCGTCCTCCTCCCTCCACTTCCTCCTCCTGCCCCTCCAATCCAGGAAGCGGTGGCCCCCCAGGGCATGAGCATATCCATATCCACCGCCTGCCGAGTTCCCCGAAGATCGGCTCTCCAGGTGGCGATTATGGACAATCCCCGCCTAGCACACGGCTTTTTGTCCCAGATCTCAGCGCATTGAATCTCAAGGCCCAGCAGGTGTTCACAGTTTCTGGCCTGTGCAGCCTCGCTGGGCTTCAGGGGCCCGGCACGCGGCTGCTCAGGATGAGGCACTGGTGCAGTGCGGCCGAGGCCCCAGATTACATATAACTCTGTCTGGTCCCTGCTCTTCTCCCGTACTTCGCCACCGGGCTCCTGCCGAAGGCGTCCCTTTGCAAGAACTTCGGCTTCGGCACCGCCTGTATCCGAGGCTATGCCTCCTGTCGGCCTCGCTCTGAGGCTCCGCCGCTTCCTTCCTCCTCTTCTCCGCCTAATTCAAGCTTCGCGCGGCCCGTTTAGCTTCGACCGGAAGAGGTGCGCTCTCGACCCGCGGATCAAAAAAGTGTTTGGTCCCTGCTGAAGCTGGTAGAGCTATCATCATCTTCTAGCCGAAAGGACAGTTGCCGAGAATGAAGATCGGCACGATCGAAATGGGCACGGAAAACACAGGTACAAAGACCGTCAGCAGTTCTGGTTCTTTTTGAACAGGACTCGCTGTCGGTGTTGCCGCTGCCTGTGTCCATCTGAGACAGAAGGCCGCCTGCCCAACAGCGGCCGCTGTTGGTTTGGGACAACATTTGCTCTTGGGCATTGTACCCACATTTTCCGCCGTACCCAGAATGGTCAGAGTGGTCAGCGAGAAGAATATGGAGTGGAGCAGACAGCGTTCGACAAAACCATCCACTCAGCTGTATCTTCGGCCTGCGCGCTGCTGGAGTGCACAGGATCGACATCCAGGTTTTTTTGGGCATTCGCAACAACCACTGTGTTTTCATTCTATTGGAGGGTAATTCGCGCAACCTATACTTCGAGATCTTGAGAGGCGCTCTACGAGGAGATTTCTGGATCCCCCATTCTTTTCATCAGCGCTGTCCGGGTGGCCATGGCAAAATTGAAAGAATGTTGGGGGAACAGAGACCTCGGGACAGCTTTTGGCAGCATTTTCTCCGGGAAAGGGCGTTTGATTTATGTGATGCTTGCAGACGACTCAGGCGACACAATGTTTTAACCAGCTCAAGAAGAGCAACCACCATAATGTTGACAAACATGTGCGACGTTCCCAAGGAAGTTGGACTTCATATGAACGTTGGCCGCGCAGTGCTCGGGCAGCTTTATTGTGGGAGGCATCGGCATCTGGATGCAAAGTCAAACTGTTTTTGTTCTTGGCTGCAACGAAGGCTTCAAGGTCTTGGGGACCCCAATGAGGCTGAACGGGAACGCGGACGTCGAATTCGACACAAAACTGGCGGCAACTTGGTGTAAATCCCACGCAGCGCACTAATGCTTAAACATGATGTTTTTGAACTGCGGCGTCTTCGTCTCTTCGATGCCACGGTCACAAAGACTGTTGAATGGTGTTCGGAAGCGTGGAACCTGACAGTATCGCAGAAATCGCGTGTGTTCACGACGCAGAAGACCATGCTACGAAACATGGTTGCTCCCAGAAGCCGGCCAGACGAAGACTAGACCACATGGGTGGAGAGAGGAGCCCACACATCAGAGCAGAAAGCGGTGCGCGCAGGAGTTTCGTGTTTGCTAAAAGCCCACTGGCAGCTCGATGGAGATGGGCTGGCCCCCTCGCAAACATGCACAACGAGAGATGGGCGGCAAGAAGAACCGCGACGTGGAGTTGCGCTGAATGGTGGAACCGCAAAGATACACATTCACGTTCGCGGCCGCTGAGACGCCGGCTATGCAGATGTCGCAGATGGGAAGACGAGTTGGTCATGCCCGCATCCGTTAAACAGTGGAACCAAGGGACATTTGCAGCCACGGCCGCCGGCAGGGACAATCGCGAAAATGAGTTCGTGTTTTTCTCATGGAGATGATTGGTGGATGCACCGCGCTGTTTTTTTTCAGGTCCTTTCCGAAGGGCCAGCGTGCTCGCGCACGCCTGTCGCCCAGGTGTTGCGTCGAGAGGTTCATTGCGGGCGTCCAAAAAAACAGAGCCAACCCAGGGAGAGGGTCGGAACTGCGGGGGATTTTGCATTGACACGCCAGGAAACCACATTGTACCTCTGGATTATGATACCCTCTGGGGCGGCCGCAGGGGGTGCTAAGGAGATATTGGTTTATCAGTGTATGGCAGGGTGGCTTATATATATATATATATATAGTTTAGCCTGACCTATAAGTAGGTTGCGAATACCCCAAGTGGCGAATGATGCGTTTGCGATCTCGGCGAAGTAGGCTCCGAGCGCGTTGCCGAGTTATCTGCCCCCCCCGCAACCTCTTGAGGTACTCGTCCCACTATATATGCCAGGCTAGGCATGCCATTTCCCGCCTTGGCATCCACCGAAAAAAACCTTATCCCCTTAGCGCCCCCCACGCTCATCCCAGAAGTGCCCGGCCTTCCAGGGGACCCGCGCCATAACATCACGACTCCAGATCTCTGTGGCCTCGAGTCTTTTTCTGACGGCCTTGGAGGAGGCTGGGGTAGACTCCGAAAGGCCTCGGGCGGACGGCAACGGAGGGGTAAGGGCAATGCACGCGGGGAGGTCGAAGATTGTAGGAAAGTGGCCCTCAAGGGGTGGTGGATCAAATGACCCCTAAAGTGCCACTGCGGGCCCAACGTGTGCGCGAAAGGCGCCGTGCGCTACGCGTAACATGTCTCTTATCGACTCCACGCGTCCGCCCAGCATGATATGGGACGACGGTCGCGCGGCGATGCTCTGACGGAAGTCCGACGTGCATCCGACGTGGTGTCTTTGGAGATCTCAAGGTGGCGTGCGGGGCCTCCTGGCGTTTTCAGAGGCCTCCTGGACCAAAATTCGTGCACCCTGGAATTTGCTCCATCAGGCTCGAGGCACCCAAGGCGTCTCTGGGAGCTTGCAGATCATCTCTCGGGAAACGTGGAGAGGCCAGGGTACTCGAGCCCCCCCTAGTCTGTTGTGCTGTTGGGGTGTTGCTCGCCGCCCCGAGGGCGCGTCGTGTCGCGTCGCGTCGTGCCACCCGCGCTGTCGGGCACGATCGTGTCGCATCGCATGTCGTCGTCTCGCCCACGGCCCACCCTTAGCGAACACCCGAATACTTCCCGCCTGTTGTTGTCTGTTGGGCCGCGGCGCCGGCGGAGGACCCCGGCGTTGGGCGCGCGCGCGCAGAGGTGCTGTTCACGAGCGCGCTGCTCCTGCTGTCCTGCCCGTGCCTGGGCCGCGCCCCGCCCGCCCCTCGGCCCGTTCGTTGCTACTTCGGAGAGGCAGCGCGGCAGATGCTATGAAACCTTCGGAGATCCGCCCGGATTTGTTTTGGATCGGGAGCTGCAGCGGGAGCAGGACGCAGGAGGTGGGCACACTGCCCCAGGGGAGGGGGCAGAGGATGAGAAGGGCGAGGGGAGGAGAATCGAATCACGAAAGACGGCATTACCATAATTTCTCTGGGCTCGGCACGGGGTTTTGGATCGGCGTTGGGGCCTCCTGGCGGTGTTTCTGGTGCCCCCCTGGCGCGCTCTGCGCGCCAGGGAGGGGGGTCAGCGCAGATTCAAGAAATCCGCTCGAAGCTCCGAAAGTGTATGATTATGTTTTTTGCTGTTATTCTTCTACTGGCAGCATTTATGGTTCTGCCTTTCTCTTATTCTAGTATCGGCGGCGGGCCTGAGGAGAGACATTTCGGGGTCGAAATTCGAGGTTTTCGGTTGTTTTCGGCGGTTCTAACTGGTTTACTGTCCTCGGGATGCGTTCCGGCGGCGGCGCCTCGGCGAAAGCGTTTTCGGGGGTGTCCGGATGGAATTTCCGGGGGTGCTGGGATCATCCTGAACGGCTGCCGCAGACCCGAGCAAATTATGACCCGAAGGCCAGACGACGAGGATCATGGAGGGAATCGGCCTTTTTTGAGGAGGCCTGGCCGCTGATTTTGGTATGGTACCCATCGGGCGTTGAAATCCATCCAGAGCTTCCAATCTAACTTCATGAAGTTGTCAAGAGCCCCCCCAGCCTCGTCCGGCAAAAGTAGATCACTTCCCACACCCTGTCAGCGTCACCTCGGCACCCTTGTGGGAGAGAAAAGGGGGACTCATACTTTTACACTACTAGTTTAATTACTGTTTCTACCACTACCACTACTGCCACTACTACGACGACTACTACTACTATCACTACTACTACTACTACTACTACTATTATTACTACTACTACTGCTGCTGCTGCTGCTACTACTACTGCTACTACTACTACCTCTTACTACCACTACCACTACCACTACCACTACGACGACGACGACGACGACGACGACGACGACGACGACGACGACGACGACGACGACGACGACGACTACTACTACTACTACTACTACTACTACTACTACTACTACTACTACTACTACTACTACTACTACTACTACTACTACTACTACTACTACTACTACTACTACTACTACTACTACTACGACGACTACGACTACGACTACGACTACGACTACGACTACGACTACGATTACGACTACGGCTATTATTATTTGTTACACCGCTGCTACGACGACTACTACTACTACAATTATCATTACTGCTGCTACCACAGTTATTAGGACTACGACTACTACGACTACGACTACGACGATTGCTACTACCATTACCAATACTA